CTTCCCCTGCCACTGCTATCCCAACCACAGCGGTGGGAGGATGAATTTAAAATGATTCCTCCAATAATTAGATTTCTTTACATGTCCAAAAAATTTTTTTTCCATATATATAATCTAATTAATGGTTGTCTTAAAATTGAAGCCATCTTGATTTTGGGTATATCCCTTGCAAAATTCTTGTCTGTAATTCTTATTATTGTATTGCTGGATGCATTTGCCATTCATGGGAATACTTAATCCTTTTTTTGAATCCTAGTAATCTTTTGGGCTCAGTAACTGGTAAAGATGAGTTCTATTGGTCTGATTATACATTGTGTGACAAAACTGATGAAGGAAGCAAATTTTAAAATTTCCTATTGACTTAATTGAATGTTCCCTTTTTTGTGTGTTATGTGAGAGAGTGAATACCAGGCTTCTGTGAGTCATTCATTTCTTTGTAGAGCTTTTATCATATCGTCTTTTTTGGAATGCTATTTCAGAAATGATACAGTCTTTTCAGTATCCTTCATATCAGAGTTTTTCCATGTCAGAACATTCTCATTGCCCATCCTTGGAGACCCACTTTTTGTTTCACCCCTTTTTGATACGGTGCGAGTAGAAGTGAATGTGGGATTTACAGTGAGGGTGTGCAATGGTGTAACTGTGTCCTGCCTCTTTCCCTCCATTCCCCAGCCTGTGTCCATTATGAGAAGATAGAGACCTTTTGGGTTATTGAGTCCAGTTCCCTGCTTTTGCGGACAGTAGTATTATAAAATTCTATTCGTAAATTTATTGAGCTTTAACTCAAAACTATTTGGGTTATTTGCCTCACTCCTCGTATTGACTGTTTCATAACTTTCCTCCCCTTTCTATTAGAAACTTTCTAATTCCCAGACAGTTTCTACTCATCTGTTCGTGTGCCAGCATTGTCCGTTAGCTTAAATTGTTCTTCTTCCTCTCAGGAGACTTAAAGAGTGTAGTCATATCCTCAGTCAGTTTTTATTTACTAAATTTCACAGCCAAACTCCTTCAGCCTCTCTTTGTAAGATAAATCCATCTTCCCCTAATCGTCCTAATAGCCATTCTCTGCACCTGTTTGAATTTATTCTTCATGAAGATATAGATAACCAGAACAGTATGCATAATTCTATAGTATTTGCCCAGTACTTTGTACAACAGCATTAATACTTTCCTATCTCTGCTTGAAACATGTCAGCTGATGGGTTGTGGATTTCTGCACATGTAACGTCTTTTCCTGTTTTTATTAACCACTACTAAACCACTTAGGATAGGTCTTCATTATGAAATCTGCAGTGATAATGCATCTTTTTCTTGATGTAAAAATATATACTGTTTGAGTAGTTCAGATTATTTCTTCCAGTGTTTTGGTACATTTTTCAGTATTGAATTTCAGCTGTCAAGGTGATAACTTTTTACCTAGCATTCCTTATGTTCCTTTGTAGCTTGTCAAACTCTTGGTTGATGGTGTGTTTATGTAGTTTGAAGTCTTACTTGTCACCTCCTTTTTCAGATCATTTATAGTGATTTTAGTAAAAATCTTGTGAAGTTATGTGAACCTTTTGCCTTAATATTATCACTCTTTTTTTGCCTCTCTAGTTTCTAATCCTTGCTACTACTTTTCCTTTCACTGTAGTTTAATGAATTTTTATTGGTCATTTTTGCACCTTGCTCTCTCAAGAAAACTTTCACCAGTTGTTTTGCTGCCTGGGCCTTTCTTTTCTAGGACTAATATTTCAGGAGTTAAAAGATGTTAATTGCTATTGAAAGTGCCAAAAGAATAAGTTTGTGAAAAGTTTAGAGCCTTAAAAAAGGAATGTGTAGTTCTGAAAGAAACTGTGTTGTGTCTTTCACTTAAAGTGAAAGTATGCAAGGAATACAGTGTAACAGGTGCTGGGTACACCTGTTACTTTAAGAAGGCAGAGGGCTGTGAAAGGGCCAGAGTCAAGCAGGGGAGCACATGGCCAGAAAGGGGCAGAGCTCAACTGGGAGATAAGCCCCAGGCCAGAGCTGGGGCAGGCAGTCTCACCCTGGCTGCTGATATGGAAGGAGCTCCTGAGCATGCCGTAGACAGTAGGAGAATATGTACTCCCAGGGGTTAAGGGAAGGCAGCCTTAGAGCTGGGCTATGGCCTGGTGGCTTAGGGATTGAAACAAGGGGTGGTGATGGTCTCAACAGGCCTGGGAGGAAGAAGCCAGAGAGGGCTCAGGCCCAGGAGCAGGGCAGATTGAATGGTAACGTCTGCAAGACACGGGCAAGGTGTAAGGGGCGGTTGGAGCCATGTAATAAGCCCTTAAGGAGCTGAGTAGTGATATCTGAAAAGCAGCATGGAATCGGGGATCCCTGGGGCAGCTTCCCTTTCCAAGGATTTAATAACAACAAGGCATGGCAGGCAAGGAGAAGGGGAGGAAGTCTAAGAAACGAGGCAGAGCAGGGGCCAAGCAGCTATCCCTGGGATCAACACCTGTTACATACAGTATAATGATATTGCATTCATTATATTAAAAAGCTCTGAAGAGGTTTCTTAAAAAGTATTTTTCTTGGCAAATTTGGTGAAGTTAATAAGTTCTTCTTCCTCTTTTCCCACAGTGGTAAGAGTACTGACTAGTGGGATGCAACAGTTCAGGAATACCACAGCAAAGAAAATGAATTCGACTTTTAAGATGGAATTCAGATCATGCTGTGGCTTCCTTTCATGTTTCCTTTGACATAATTATTTTGCTTTGAATATTCAGCTGGCTGGGTGTAGTATGCATTGCTGTTTTAGGGAAATCCATAATCATGCTTTTGATAGAAAAATCGGTTTTGCTCTTGGCTACTGACCAATCATCTCTTAGTGCTTTTACGTATTTCAAAACATACAACATGTAATAATGGTAGAAAGGAAACAGTCCATTTTTCTACCACAATGCTCCACTTACCCTCTCAGTTACAAGGGGCCCTGTGGGAAACCCTTCAAAGGGATTTGTCTTCAAAGAAAGGGAAGGAATGATCCTGAATGGTATTTAAAGGCAAAAGCATAGAAATGGGACAGAAGAAAGAACTACTATACAGAATGAAGTTGGTTGGCTTCATTATTTTTTTTTCTTCTGAACATTTTTGATGTAGCAAATATACCTCATGGGATTTTTTATCTTTGTTACTTACATTTCTAAACATTCCCACTTCTGAATTGTGCATGTACATTATTAATGCAGGTTTTAATGGAATGACGAATTGTAACACATTTAAGACAGACAGGATTCTTTTGGTAGATGTGATATCTTTTATTAGACCAACTGTCCAAAGAACCTTGGCTGTCTTTATGTCCGTAGACCAATGCGGCTACAACCAACAACCCTAACACACTTATGAGAATTTAAGTTTGGGCTGGATTTGAATCTACTTTGGCAATATTTTAAACATTGCAGATTTTGCCTGTATAATTAGAGGTGCACCGATACATCAGTCTGATATTGGATCAGCACCAATATTAAGAAAATTTACTATATTGGACATCGGCCATATCGGGCCGATAATTTGGCTGATAAATGCCCCCATGCATGTGCACAGCTGCAGTGCATCATGCAGGCAGTGAGGAGCACAGCCTGGCAGCGTGGATAGCTGCGTCCAGCTGGTTAGTCTGGTGTGGTGGAAGGGAAGAGGGGAGGGGAGATAGGGGGGTGCAGATCAAGGCCACTGCGGGGAGTGAGTGGGGCTGGGGCAAGTGCTGCCCAGCTGGGGCAGGCATGGGACAGAGCCATGGCTCATCCGGGGAGCACGGGGGGGTGGCTCCTGCTGCTGTGTGTCGCTGGTCCAGTGGCTCTTCTGATGCTCACCTCCTTGTGCGGCAGCTTCTGCTGCTTGTCCAGAAGGGCACAAGAGGAGTCATGTGCCCCTAGATCTGCATGGGGCAGGGTGGACTGGGGCCGGGGCTGCACCAAACTCTTCCTGGTGGAGCAGTCTGTGCTGGGAAGGGGGCTGAGGTTGGGGCTGCAGTTACAAATTCACTGTAACCCCTTCCCAGCGCAGCCTCAGTCCCACCCGGCCCTGCCCCATGCAGATCTGGGGGCACATGCCCCCCACCCCCATGCCCTCCCAAACCAGTGGCAGGAGCCATGGGGCGAGCACAAGACCAGTGGCTCCTGGATGAGCGGCCCACAGTGTTGGGAGCTGCCTCTCCCCTACCCCCGTGCCCCCCAGATGAGCTGCGCACCTGTCCTGTGCCCGCCATGGCTGGGCAGCACTTGCCTCTGCCTCTGCTCCAGCCCTCCCTCCCCACAGGGGCCTTGATCTCGCACCCTCCCCTCCCCTCCCCTCCCACCACACCAGGCTTACCAGCTGGAGGCAGCTTTCCAGGCTGCTGGGCTGTGTATCGGAAATCTGATCAGTATTGACCAATAAGCCTTCTTAAAAATCGGCTATCAGCCTCAAAAATCTCTATAGGTGCACCCCTGCGTATAATTAAACAGTTAACACCCCCTCCCAAAATTAATCTGTTTGAATGAAATGGGTCTTTTAAAGTGTAACATTTTTCTTTTAAAAAATTCACACACAAAACACAAATCTGACTTTTTTTAATTGGCTTATTTTTCACCCACAGCTTTGAGCACAGTGAAACTAGTTTTAATTGTCTAGGCAACTGCAGGTATAATGAGAGGCAGATAGATCTCCTTTCTGCAAGAATAAGTTAACCTGCAGTCACTTTCGGAACATGTTTGTTATGTGCAGGTTCAACAGATATAAGTGATCTAAAATTAACTGGCATAAAATCCATTAAAATGTAGTTATTATTATATTACTTTGTCATGAAAATTCTGGTCTTAGTTTTGCTAATTCTTTATACCTAGATAGATATTAACTGATATGGTCAGATTGATTATCTGTCTTGTACTGAAAACAGTGAAGAATTTTTGGTTAACGGGTAAAAGGACTGTTAATTTGAGATATTGTGAATATTGCATATTGGCACAATTAATGACAACTCTACATTTTGTTTTAATATTGTATGGTCTCTCTTATAGGAAGATTTGACACCAAAAGATATTGAAGACATAATTGATGAACTTAAGGCTGGCAAAGTTCCCAAACCTGGACCAAGGTACTTTGTATAACAAGAGCTGAGTATTTAGAAATATCTTTATGGGGGGAAGAGATGTTATTTTAGTGTGTAGTGAACTAGTTCCTGTGAAGGGGACTGAGGTGGTACAGCTGCTAAGGTGGTTGACAAACCAGAGTTTGCAAGTTTAAGGCCATGGCAGAAGCGCTCATGGCGTGGCCCTGTCATATTCCAACAAATCTGTAAATTTTGCTAAATACCTTGTCATGCAAGGACACAAAAAAGATGGGAAGTTTCTGTGAAAGGTCCGGATTATATACAGTAGAAACAAAGGCTTCACTGTTCAGTGAAGTAAAGGTACAAGCTTTTCCATGTGTCTGAATCTGAATATAAAGAGGACTCGGCAAACTGTTGAGAGGAAAGTTTTTCATTTTTGTTCTTTTAAGACTGCCAACAGGAGCACTTAAAGAGGTGAGGGCTCTGACTGGCTGGGAGACCCATAACTAGATGTTTTGCCTAGAGTACATAAACACACTACTAATCTGTGGTGTATTTGAACCTCCTAAAAAACTCATTTCTGTGATTCCTACTGTTCCTGAACCATTTTGTAGGTGTAGGAATATGTGTTGATGGGAGAGCTAATTATTGGTATATATTTAGAAGCATTATTTATTATTGATTTTTGTAAGGAGACTACAGTAATTGAGGAAAAAATACAGCTTTCAGGTAACATAGAAATGAGTGAAATATCGCGTTGCCTGGTGACAGCTGGTGTTGACTAGATTAAAAAGGGGTGCTAAACCCATGGCCCACAAGTTAGGTCTGGTCTGTGTTGCCATGTCATCTGGCCCATGGGATTTTCCATGGGTCTGAAAATTTGGTGGGAGGAGAGTGTTGGTACTGCTCCCCTGCTTCCCAATTTCCAGACCTGTGGGGAGCCCTACAGACTGGAGAGCGTGACTGTATGCATGGTGCCCTAGGGCCCAAGGCATCCCGCGGACTGGCTCTGTGCCACTCATCTGGCCCCCGGTGCCAAAAGCTTGAACACCACTGCTGTAAAGTATTCAGATGCTTGACACTGCTTGAATAAGAAAAATAGCAGACCCAAGTTTGGGTCACACTACTTTAATCCTTTGGATAAATAAAAATTGTTACAATACTGAGTAGTTATTTAAAAACAAATCTGATAGATCTTTTCCTTTCCAGGAGTGAGCGATTTTCTTGTGAACCAGCTGGTGGTCTTACATCTCTGACTGAACCACCCAAGGGACCTGGATTTGGAGTTCGAGCAGATCTATAAGGATTGATGTAATAAATTATAAAATCACAAGTTGTATGAGAATAATAAAACTACTTTCCACTCATTAAATGACTATTACGATATGTTCAAACCTTTATTAAAAGGTAGGATAACAACAGCAGTAAAATACAGTTAACAATACGAAATGCTTAAATCACCATCTTCAGATTTCTAATCCACTGCAGTAGGGCAAACCCTAAGTAACCAGTTCGGTGGAAAGGAAGAAGTAGTTTATGATAAAGCATCATAATATTTAATAATTCCTGTCAAAGTACTTTCCTGAGTGTCCCTGGTCTGTTGTTTATAAAGGTTCTTTCAGTGAGGAAGAAGCTGACTAATTAGCTGCATACCTAGTGCTGGCACACACTCAAATACACTGGAAACAATTTTTGCCCCATACAAAACTTCCCTTTATTATGTGTGTTACTATAGCAGCTATAGTAGAAATGCCTTATGGACATATTGTTCTTTTTTATTTAAACCATTTTTTTAAACATTTGTTGGATTAAGTAAAGACATGTTTAATTCTCAATAATGCTGTGTTATGAAGAACTAGAGATGGCCTTTTAAAGGTCCAGGAAAATGTAAGTGGAATACTCACACAGAACTGCTGGTCTGCAATGATATATTAAGTAATAATGCATAAAAAAAAAATCACCTTCTCTCCAAATTTATCATCGACCACAGTCAAAGTGTGCAGTTAGAGGATGGTGTGCAAGATATTTTTATAATGCATCTTAATTTTGCTGTATGAAATGTCAGTCCTTTGGTCCATGGAAGGGAGTGGGTGTGTGGCTAGGCCCAGGTGAAGGGTTCTGACCACCTGTGTCTGCCCGCCCCAGTGTTCAATTGAGGAGTTGGCAGACACAGGTGAGCAGCCTTGCCAGACAAGCCAAGGCCTGAGGCTTTTAAGGGCTATAATACAGACTGGAAATTGACACAGACCTTTTGGAGAAGCTATTATTTAAGAACAAAGTGTGCTATAAACCTTTAAAATTATGAATATAACTGTTCTTGGAGTCCATGTTTATAACTTCATTCAAAATCAGACAAATATTAATTGAAGTGTGAATCTTTGATAGTGTTCATAAAAAGGCATACACTTCCAATTTGAGACCACCTGAAAGTCCTGGTCCTGTATCTCTTTTGGACCTGGGTGAGTAGTTTGTTGGATAATCAAGCTTGCCCTTTTACTTTTTTTTTTTCTTATTGATTTTGTGAGCCATCTCTGATCTTGGTGTTTTGTGTCTGCTGTCACTGTTATGAGCAGGAGACTGGTAATAGCATCTTTTTTTCTTTTTGACCTGGGCTTTTTTATCTATCTAGTTGTCAGATGGATTTTTGGTATTTTAGCCAACAGAATAACACTCTGCAGTTTGTTTCTACATAAAATGTTACTGTAACCTGTTATGATGGTGTATGCATTTGGCAGAAGAACTGTTTTCCAGGATCATGAACAGGAAAGAAAGATGGCCTATGAAACAGTTTCAGTATGAATGTGGTCTTCCTACTAAAAGATTTAAAATGACTCCTTACACCATATTTCCAATTGAGGAGAAAACCATGACAAATAGTATACCTTTTCTGAAATCAATCATTTATATGGTAGTCTCCAGCTTTCTACATAAGTGCAAAAACCAGTGAAACAAAAATTGCTAACTATCATAGCACACAATTATACTAAAATTATTTCCCTATCCCATATAAAACCCTAATTAAATGTTGAAAAATGTCTGTTTTCTTGGCTTCAAAAATTTAGCAAGCTATTCATTCCCTGCAGCAGTCCCAAACATAGTGTATGCCTCCTGAAAACATGTAAAAGCAAGTTAGTGACCTCAACATATACTGCATTTCCTGATGTTCTTTGTGCACCTGTTGTTATGACAAGGTTCTGACCACAACACTCACAAAATCAAGTGGCATGCCATAACTTACATTGCTTAAAACACATTGTATATGGTGCTACAGTATTATATTTTCCCTTTTTCAAATATAAATCTTTATACTTTAAAAAAATAAATCTCATCACCTTTTATGAATGCTGCCATAAAGAACCTTTGCAGTGGTAGCATTTTCAGTGTTATCTGTATGATCTGTTCTTGTAGTAGCTGTGCAAGTTGTAACTTGCAGTTATCTAGTACTACTTTTAAAGTATTTGAAGATTATTGTTAAATATTAGACCTATAAAAGCAAGCACTTTTTTATAAAAAAAAAAAAGGAATTTGAGTAAAATGCCTTGTTTCAGGATTTTTCTGCGTTGAAAAGCCAAATTAGCAAGCAGTAAGTGGTCCATCATTGGTGAAGTGCCAGTGGTCCAATGTGCCACACTAGCATCCAGTTCTGTGTGATGCTTAAACTTGAGTTCTCCATTTGAGCTCTACTACAGCATTGCAGTTGCCCCATCTTATGAGCCCTTATTCTAAAGCTCACGATGATGATCTCTGAAAAAAATTGCTTCTGGGAGGTATCACAAGGTTAAGGAGTCAAGCCCACTATGAGAGAAGACAAAAAATCTCCAAGTCCTTAGCTGTTGGGGCTGTATCCAAGACTTCTTCAAAACAGACCAACATGGCAGTTTTGGAAAGTGAGTGGCAAAACATCAGAGGTAACTAGCAAATGGAAAAACAGTTGATTATAGTTTTTCTGTGGTGGTCCTAAGTGCGCTTTCTAGCTTCCTTTACTTCTGGTTCCACACAATACTCAAATTCTAACTACTGAGGCATTTTGGCGGGGTTTATGGTCCAAGCCATGACAACAGAATGGCCAGACATTTGTTTTCAGGTCCTGCAAGAGAGAATAGTGAGTATAACTTTAAAATGTGGAAGTTTTTTCCATATTCCTTTGATCAGCTAGAATAACTCTGCCCAAGTATGTGGAATAGTCCACTGGAAAATGCAGCAAATACCCTACGAAGTTGGATATCTCGGGTAGTCAGTTAGCTGGATGTGTGGGCAGGGATTGCATAGTGGGTGTTATATTGTTTTGCAATAAAGAATGTATATGAAGGTATATGAAAAGTGCAGATTATAATCAAAGGATATAAGCAATTTAAATATATTTTATGTTCAGGAGGTACAGTTGGACCTCTGTGCCCATTCTGTGTCTTTCCTTATCTCTCAATTAACTCTCTTTAAGTGTGTTCGCTGAAAGGGCTGCCATATGTGTGCTTTGCGGCAGACTTAAGATAGGATAAAAATCATTGGAGATTCTGTAGCTGCCTTACTTAAAGGAAAATACACAGGCTTTACTGAATTAAATACAAATGCAATACAATCACCAGATACACTATAGGCAGTTCATTTTTAATACTGTTCCATTTCCAGTTTTCAGCATACAACTGAAAACAAAAAGGGTTAAACTGTTCACTTGTAACAACTTGGTGATTAAATGCAACCATATTTGCATATATAACCTATATGTAGGAGGAGGAGGTGACTTTAGTAGTTCCTGCAAAGGCTAACAATTTTGCCCTGGAATCTGTTGCATATATTGGTATGACCTGTAGTCTGTGCTTTGTCCCGTGTCCCCACCATCATGGCAGTGGGCTGCCTTCTGTCAGGACGCTTCTTTGC